GGTCATCAACGGTAACGCGCAGTTTGTTTGACGTTACCTTAAAGATATCGGTTACGGCCGAAAAATGTTTTGTCAGATCCTTCGAAATCCGAGAAATATTCAAAGGTTTTTGTTTGGGCCGGAAAAAAACAACCCACGGACCTTTTGAGTCGCTTGGGTAAGCTTTATGGCGGGGGGTCGCAGAAATTTTTAAGGGAACGGTTGGAGTAGGGGGAACAGGTGGACGAGGGGGCGATGGTGGAGAAGGGGGGGCAGGGGGTGAAGGAGGTTGTTGTTTAGACATCACCTTTGGGTAAGCTCCAGTGCTCGTTTTGGGGTCCAAAGTAGAATCCCCTGAGGTATCCATTTCCTCTTCAGTGAGAAGCAGATTTTCGAATGATGGAGATTTAACAGACTCATCATCGGAGATATCTGCTAGCGAAATACCCCCGCCATCATTGGTTTCATCCATTGCGGGGTCTTAAGTACCTCCGCAACAGATTTCGACATAAAAAAGGAAATATATATATATATTTATATATATATATATATATATATATATATATATATATGCGTTGAAAAAAAAAAAAATAAATAAAAAAAAAAATAAGAAAAAAAATAAACTTATCCAAAAAATATAACGGTAAAAATAATACTTAATCCAACAAATCAAAAAAAAAAAAAACTTTAAAATGGAAAAAAAAAACAATGCCAGGAAAGTTAATCAACACTATAGGGAGATTAATCAACTTGCAAAAAAAAAAAACAGTAAATGAAAAAAAAGAGAAAAAAAAAAATGAAAAATTTTTTCAGGAAAAAACAAAAAGGTGTCAGAAAAGTTAATCAACACTGTATGGAGATTAATCAGGTTGCGGAGAACGGAAGATAACCGTTTGTTACTTAACTCTCCACACAAGCGCACGGAGTGTGGCTGATGACGATGATCTATCCTGATGTGAGAATGATGGTGATGATCGTTCTATTGTTGCCCTCGAGTGTTTGCAACAAAGCACCGGCTGGCTCGCCGGCTGGTGAACTCGATGACCTTGAGTTTGCCGTTTCGTGATGCGATGAAACTTGTTGGTTAGAGATGTACAGCTCATCTGCCGGACTCGGCCGGAAATGACTGCTTCCTTTCTCGAACGATTGAGCGGCAATTACAATTCCGCGATGCTCACTGCACTGTTGTATACTACAACACCACTCAGTATGAAAGCGGATTGAAAAAAAAACCTCAATAGGGGAAAAAAAACTAGTACCGATTACGGAGTGCAAGCAATACTTGACCGAAACAGTCGAGCGTTCGATGTGGAATGGATAAACATTCTTAACCCCCCCCCCCCTCCCACCAAGTACACTGAAAATAAAATTTCGTTTATACAACGAAATCGCTCGTTTGTTCTACGAATTTATTCGTTGTTTTCTGCAACGAAATGGATTTGTACATTGTATGAAGCTAGTTTCGTTAGAACTGCCACACTCGCTATCGCTACGCTGGTTGTGGAAACCGAAAAATGTGGAGTGTGTTAGTGAGGCTGGGTAAAAATAACTTCATCATTGGAAGGAATAAATATGACAAAGAATAAAAATAGGCCTCAGACCGGACTCGAACTCATGTACCTTGCGATCGTTAGATCTGTGCTTTGTCCATCGCTCTATCTGTGCTATGAGAAATGGTATAGCTAAAGACAAATAAGAAGCACAATGAGTGCTTGCGGTACTTCGATTTCTCTTGCTTTTTCTGCTGCTTGCATGTATTTTTGTTCTCTAACATAAAACCACCGCGACGAGTAATTTGATTTATTGTGGTAGCTTGCATGTATTGGTCAAACCGACAATATTTCTAAAAGTTGTTGGTTTGATTGTACGAAGATGTATTTGTATATTATACGAAAAAGGCGTAATATTGACATTGCGCCAGATGACAGGAAAAACGAATGTTTCGTACCATTTATGAAAGATGTGTTGTATGTACCATATTCATTTTTACGAAACGGTTTTCAGAGAAATAACGAAAATACATTTTCAGTGTACCTGGGACATTCATTGTGCTTTTTGTATCTTTTTTTTTACCCCAAACGGCATTTTCTAGTGCTTTTTTGTGACGTACATATTGCTCAAACAGCTGTTTTTAGTGCTATTTTGATTTTGTTTAATGGTACCTTTTTCAATGAGACCCACATTCGTTAATCTTCTTTATCGACATCGCCTTTGTTAGCCAAGACACAGTAACATTACTTATCGCTGTCTTGAAAATACCATATGGAAATTGATCTAGGTATTTTTTTTATTTTTTTTTTATTTTAACTAGCTGAGTGTGCCCGGTCTTGCTCGGGATTCAATATTAGCTTGAGTTTATGCGCCGATTTAAAAAAAAACATGCTATATTGTACGTAGCCCCCCCCCCCCTATTATCTAAGGGGCTACCCCCTATGATTATCTCCTTATACCCCCACACTCGCCCCCACATGCCTAATTTGGTTCCATTTGCTTGATTAGTTCTCGAGTTATGCAGAAATTTCTGTTTCATTAGTATGGGAGCCCCCCCTTACAGAAGGGGGAGGGGTCTCGAACCATCATAAGAACCTTCCACGGCCCCAAAAACCCCTGTATACAAATTTTCACGCCAATCGGTTCAGTAGTTTCAGAGTCTATAAGGGTCAGACAGACAGACAGACAGACCGAAATTCATTTTTATAGATTGTGCAGTGTTAGTTTTTAATTGCTCATTTTTACTTTCCTGCATGAATTATTTTCTTTTCTTTAAGAACGATTCATATTTTACGATGGCTCATCCTCATGTTCAAGCATACATTTATCTCCTGGTTTCTGGAACTTTTTCAGTTTTTAAAAGATATTTTCATTTTCTTTTTGGGGAAATAATCACGATTTTACAGCATATTTGGATTTAAACAGTGATAACAGTGATGGCTTTGTGTGGGACATTTTAGATTTATTTATCGCGGTTATTCAATATGAAATTGCTCATTTTGCCTCTTTTATGGGAAAATATGTTCAATTGCAAGTAACGTAGGTGAGTTATTTAGTGCTCAAATTTCCTAATTTAGTGGAGATTCATCCTTATTTAATTGAGCGTATTCTATTTGCTATTGCCCTTTCTGCCATTTTCACCGCTCACGTTCAAATTATTAAAAGAAGCTTTTTATTTATTAATTGCATTTTTCTTCATTTCTATTGCAACTTTTTTTTTGTTTATTGGTGCACCCCTGTAGTATTTAGTGGCCAATTTGAGATTTTTTATTGCTCATTTCGCTTTTTTTTATTGATGATTAATTGTGCTGCAATTTCCAAATACGGTCGTATACTTCGAGGAATCCGTGTTCTATTACATCTTCGGCAAACGGGACTACATATGCCCAGTATCTAGAAAAATTCTGCTGAAGATGCTCAACGATTGATGCTCGCATATTCTTCTTCTTTTTCTTTTTCGCTTTTCAAGCTTATTGTTTATCGCATATTAGCTTATTGTGTGCTCTCAACTTAGTGTTCTAGATGCACTGTCACAGTTATTAATTGCGAGCTTTCGATGTCTGCTACCATTTTTACCATGTATAATTGTGAGGCAAGTACAATCATACTCTATGCCCAGGGAAGTCGAGAAATTTTCCAACCCGAAAAATTCCTAGACCGTACCGGGTATCGAACCCAGCCACCTCCAGCATGGTCATGCTTAATAGCTGCGCCTTTACCGACTAAGCTAAGGGAGACCCTTTAGCATCTGCGACACCTTATTTGCAAAAACTGAATCGGCAAGATGTAGTATTTGGTGAACTAGGCTACCAAATAGACAATTTCCGTCACCTGGGATACGTTGCAACCAAACTTCAAACTCTCCGATCCGATTACACATAAACATAAGCTGAAAACATCTCTTCAATGTACTTATTCCTTTGGCTTTATTACGTCCGGACTATGACTTTATGACGCCTCTCAACTTTGTGTTTTTGCGCACTTCCACATTTGTGAATTGAAAACTATCTAAGCCAGTACCAGTTTTGCATTAATATTATTGTGTGACAAGTATAAGTCATACTCTATTTGTGTATAAAAGGATTCGTAAAATAAAGAATCGGGGCTCGTTCGAGGGAATCAGTAACTTTGTTCTAGGTTGTTTTTGTGCGGACGTGCACAGCTCCAACCTAAGAACAAAGTTATGCTTAGGCCATCCTAGGGAATTACTTCTTAGGTTTAAGCTTAGATATTGATTCCAGTTCTTGATTGCAAACATTTGAGTGCTCATTCGACCCCGAGAAAAAATAGGCTCTGAGTCTGGAGTCGACTTTATCCGATAGTTCGGTCCAAACACTTGAAATGTTCATCGAAAGTGTAAGTTTCATGGCGTAACTCTGCCAGAAAAGAGTATGTCTGTGCTTCCAGTTTACGTTGCAGTGCAAATAAATTGGATAAGCATTTAACAGTTAGCAGAATAAGCACTACTAATGGAGGAAATGCGGCATCAACGGAGAATGTTGCCGTTCAATTGTTAAGTCTGATATTGACGTTTATAAAAGTATCCCATATCTTGATACATTAAGTAATAAAAATCGGATGAGTAAAATCAAAGAGATGCTTAACTTATTTTATAAAAAGAAATTATATTAAATAAATGAACGATATATACAATGACATCAAATAAATGAAAGATAAATAAAATTACAGTACCCGTTAGATTTTGGCATGGTTGGATTTTGGCAAAAAAAACACAAACCATTCGTTTTTGGAAATTTCGATTTTGGCACCGTGCTAAAATTAACGAATTTTGAAAATAATGTATTTTTTTTTCTTTGTGATTAATAAAAGATTAATTATGAATAACGTCTATTTCATAGATATGTCTGACGGTGGTCCAAAATCAACGAAATTCAAAATCGGACGTACAACAATCCTTTCCAAACTTCTATAAAACTTGAAATGTTAGTTAGGATGAAGAGATAAAAAAGTAAAACGATGAACTAACGGAACATACAACTACTAAAGATTTTTATTTTGACCTTTACAAAACAGTTTTTTTCAAACAACCTTCTTTTTAGGAAACGTTTTTCAGTTTCGGATTATAAACTCAATGACTATACATTTTTTTCTTTATTGCACATTCATATTGTTCACCACACTCAAATCGTCTAATTATTTTCACAACTTTATAGGAAAATATACTTTAGTAGAAACAATCATTTAACCCATTCCTTCTCAAAAGGTATATATCGTTATTTTGAGATCCAATAATACGTTTTTTATAAAAGTGGTAGAACAAAAAATGTTTCAGTTCGAATCCATTACATTTTTTTAATCTATAGTTTTTTAATTGACTCAAGAATACAAGTCGGTAAGGATTATGAGCGCACAGAGAAGTTTAAACAAGTACTGACCATTTAACGGTAGATTGACAAACATGAGACGGACCGAAAAGTTGTGGATCACCTGTGCTAAAATGGGAAGGAGAGGGTTAAACCGGTTATATTATGACAAGATACTGCTGTATGGCGTTATGTTATAGCCACTTCTAATGCGAAGTTGGTAACTTCAGTTTCATCTCAGCTGCCGCATCTCTACGCACAACTTCACAGCTCAACGTGAGGTTTTTTTTTGGCATGGTCCTCCTTAATGAAATCGGCTCCCTTTTCGCCGATCATGATGGTTGGTGCATTGGTGTTACCACTGACAATGTTTGGCATGATGCTTGCATCAACCACTCTTAGTCCTTCAACGCCACGTAGCTTCAGTCTCGAATCCAATACGGCACTGGGATCGCTATCGGGACCCATCTTGGCCGTTCCCACCGGGTGGTAGATCGTGGTGGACATGTATCGCATGTAACACTCCCAGTAGCTGTCAGATTCGAATTCCAACATGTCGCATTCCGGAATATTTAGACGAAACTCTTCAATCTCGTGTTGCTTGAAGTTTTCAGTTTTGAGCATTTTACGGAAGAAACGGATTCCTCTAATCAGAGTTGCCACATCCCGGTGGTCATACAGGTAATTGGCATCGATGATTGGTGCGTCATATGGATTTGAACTTCTCAGTTTAACGCTGCCCGAGGACTTGGGATTCAGCAGGGTGACGAAAACTTGCAGAACTTCAGCCTCTTTGTTCAATTCTAAGAGTTGTGCTGCAATATAGTCTTCTAAACCGAATTTTTCTTGAATCGATGCATAGTCAGCCATTTTCGCCTTGAAAACGAAATGATGGTACTGAATGTCAGGAAATCTTGCTGCTGGGTTATGTGTGTTAACAAATGCGATGAGATCCGTAGACGCAATTGATCCAAGAGGTCCCATTCCGTAACGGAAGTAGGAATAGATGTTGTCCATCAGTTCATCAAAATTGACTGTTATGGGACGAGATTTATGCATAGATAACATTAGGGGTACGACTATATGATCTTGGAGATTTTGACCCACATGTGGGGAATCGTGCAACACAGGAATATTGAATTTATTCAATTCTTCTTGAGGTCCAATTCCAGATAACTTCAAAACTTGAGGAGAATTGATAGCTCCGGCGGAAAGGACGACTTCATTTTTTACTTTTGCTACAATATCTTTGTTTTCTCCTATGTCGAAAGAGACACCGGTTGCAATTCCATTTTCAATGTTGATTTTAGTGACGTGAGCATGTTTAATGATATGCAGGTTCGTCCTGTCTTTCGCGGGATTCAGGAAGGCTTTCGCAGTGCTGTATCTTTTTCCATCCTTTACCGTACCCTGTGCAACGCAATATCCTATGAATTCGTCACTGTTTACATCCATAATTTCAATGTGTCCAAGTTCAGCGGCTGCCTCCGTAATAACCATTTTAGTCATATCATTGGACATGAACGTATTCACCTTCAGTGGTCCATCGGTTCCATGGAAGGCACCCTTTTCCTGTTGAATATGATACGCTTCGTTACCTTCGGACTTTTTGAAATATTCCAAAACATTCTTCCAGTTCCATGTCGGATTTCCTAACTCTTCCCAGCGATCATAATCCCGGCTATTACCACGCACGTAGAGCATTGCATTGTTACTGCTGCATCCTCCCAGCATTTTTCCGCGTGGCCAATAGCTTCCCTTTTTATAACCTTTGCTAGCGGATGGACTTTTTTCGGCGTAGTAATTCCACACGTGACTACTATTAGACAAGTGCATCAATAGCAACGGAATCTGTAGTGAAAAAATGGTAGATTATTGGTTGATCAGAATGTCAAAGGAAAATCTGTATGTTACCTTTAGAAAACATGGTGATGAATGACTGATTAGTAGATGATACTGATGGGATGAACTAAATGAAACATTGGTTAAATTATGATGGAACCAGTATATTTCTCAAAAATAACAACGTAAACATTTTAAACTAACAAAAACATGCTTTACAATTCTGTATGAACATCGGACTTTTCTTTCCAGTCTTCTTTAATCATATCGGATGCCTTCTCTGCTATCATCATTATCGGGGCGTTGGTATTTCCAGACACAATCGATGGCAGAACGCTACCGTCCACTACTCGAAGACCGGTAACTTTTTTAACTTTCAGCCTGGAATCTACCACTGCCGAGGAATCTTCATCGGGGCCCATTTTAGCTGTTCCCACTGGGTGATAAAGAGTCATAGTAACGTGACGACTATAGCAATGCCAATATTCATCCGAATCGAATTCCAGCTCATCACAGCCTGGAATATCCAACCGACTGATCTCTGCTTGGTTATTTTTAAATACTTTCGTATCAGCTAAGCGTTGTACAACCCGAATAGCTCGAACAACCGTTTCAATGTCTTCGTTGTCTTCGAAATAGTTGGGAACAATTTTAGGTGGCGTGTACGGATTGCAATCCTGTGAGGTGATTTTCACGGTTCCTTTTGATTTTGGATTCAATAAAGTAACGAAAACTGACAGGACATCCGTTTCGAGTGTAAATTCATTGAGTGATTGAATAATATTATTATCAAACCCAATCTTACTAGCAAATAGTAACGAGTTATTTGCACCCTTTTTGAATATGAAAAAGTGCAACTGGGCATCCGGGTACTGGTCGGTGAAGTTGACCGTATTTATAAAACCCATCGCCGATGTAACGTCATGGGACGCCAAAAACCCATCTCTGTACAGAAGATATTGATTGTAGCTATTGGTTAGATCTAGTAAAGTATGAGCTTGAGCAGTAGATTTGTTGATTCTATAATACAGTGGTACGACTACATGATCCTGCAAGTTTTCACCAACCGGCAAATCCGCTGCTATATTAACTCCTACCGATTGTAACAACGGCTTGGGTCCTATACCTGATAACATTAAAATTTGTGGAGTATTTATTGAGCCGGCTGAGATGATTACTTCCTTACGAGCTTTCGCCGCCCTTAGATGCTCGTCATCAATGAAAAAGTTCACCCAACGAAATACTCCTTTCTTGTCCTGCTCTACGTTGACAACCCGCGTATTCTTCATAATGTGTAAATTTTGCCTATCTTTAATGGGATTTAGAAATGCCTTAGCTGGGCTGCATCGAGTTCCATTGACAACTGTTCCCTGAACACGACCAAAACCAACGTACTCATCACCATTGATATCGTTTAGGTGTTTGTATCCTAGTTCTTTGGCGGCTTCAAATATATCACCAATTAGTGGGCTATTTGTCGGGAAATATTCTATGTTTAATGAACCGTCTTTGCCATGAAGTTTACCACCATTTGATTCAGCAACGTTGGGATTTCTGTTGTTCTCCGATTTCATGAAATATGGTAAAACGTCGTCATAACCCCATCCTGGATTACCGGATTCCTTCCAGCGGTCGTAATCCCTCCGGTTGCCACGAACGTACAACATTGCGTTGATTGCTCCACTTCCGCCAAGCAACCTACCACGTGGCCAGAAGCTTCCCTTTGGAATGCTCTTGGCGTACTTGTCCGAAGGTTCCGCGAAGAACGACCAATCGTATTCCGTCCGTTGCAGAGTGAAAAACATGTTCGGTATCTAGAAAGCAAAGGGTTACATATATATATATCGAATCCCCTTTCTACCGGTTTGTAGGATAAAAACACGTAGAATCCCAAACGACCAAGATAAGTGATTTTATTTTAGCTGCTAAACATAAGCCTAGGGACATAACAACAGTTTCGAAAACGTAGTCTACAACTAGGTATCATCTATTACATGAGATCATACGAAACTTAAGTACAAAATCGTAAATTTATTTCTATAATCACACAATGAGTCTGTGACGTGGTGGTTATGAAAAGTGATAGTTATAATCATCATTTGTTTAGTTTTATTCATAATTACTGCGAGTTAACATTGTCAGAGATAAGAATTTTTAATCATATCTGCACCCTTTTCTGCGATCATAATAGTAGGAGCATTGATATTACCACTAGTTACGGTTGGCATTATGCTGGCATCTACAACTCGCAATCGCTCAATCCCATAAACCCTCAGCTGGGAATCGACCACTGCTCCTGCATCACTCCAAGGACCCATTTTAACCGTACCACTTGCATGGTAGATAGTAGTACTCATATGCCGTATATAACATTCCCAGAAATTATCTGAGTCGTACTCCAAAGCGTCACATTCTGGAATATCAATTCTCAGCAGATTTGGTCGATACCTTCGTAACGTTTTCGTGTTGAATAAGGTCTGTTGCATTCGAATGCCCTTGCGGATCACATCCAAGTCATTCAGATTGCTGAAATATCCCGTAACAATCGATGGATGATGGTATGGATTAGCTGATCTAATCCGCAGGCGTCCACGAGACTTTGGATCGATACCAATAACCCAAACAATGCCCACATCTTGTTCTTGTACATGTTTTCTAATTGAACTCAGCACCTTCTCGTTGTAGCCCATTCCAGTGTAAATATCCACCGAGTTAGCATCTCCTTTTGGAAGTAATAAGTTTACAAATTGCACATCAGGGAATTTTTCATCACCGTTCTTTGTATTAGCGAATCCCATGTAATCTGAAAATCTGTTGAGATCTATGTACGTGCTTCTATTGCGTAGAGTGAAGTCAAAAAGGTTAATCATCACTCGTTGTCTAATTTCAGTAAGATTGGTAATCGATTTCCCAATCCCAAAAAATACCGGTACAAGCACATGATCTTGTAGATTTCCTCCAACGTCTAACTCCGCTCGCACTGGTATGCCGAACGGCTCTAAACTTTCTGGCCTTCCTATACCAGATAACATCAATAGTTGAGGGGTATTTATAGCTCCCGCTGACAAGATAACTTCCTTCGAAGCGATCGCCCTTAACGAATATTGGTTATCTACTATCATGTTTATCCCTCGAACAATGTTTTCACTACCATAGTGAAGTGATACCACAAACGCGTTTTTAATTATGTGTAAGTTTTTACGATCTTGAATAGAATTAAGAAATGCCTTTGCTGTACTCGCTCGCGTTGTGCCTTTAGCGGTCAGCTGCAGTCTACCGTATCCGATGTGCTCCTCTCCGTTTAAATCTATCAGCTGCTTGTAACCCGCTTCAGTCGTTGCTTGTTTTAGTATTTCATTATACTCATTCGTATCACCGTAAAACTCTACGCTCAAATATCCACCTACACCATGATATTTTCCTCCGTAACTTCTAACAACCTCAGGTGCACTGTTATCTTCAGATTTGATAAAGTACTTCAGGATGTCATTCCATCTCCATCCAGGATTTCCCAAACGTTCCCACTCGTCATAGTCGTCCTGGTTGCCACGAACGTACATCATTCCATTGATTGCACTGGATCCACCTAGCATTTTCCCTCTCGGCCAATATGTCCCGTTTACCATACTGAGACTCGAATCATTTGCACGCTCCGTAGTGTACTCCCAGTCAACTCGTGTCCGAATCATGGTGGGCTGCAATCCGACAATCTACAACGATTCCTGTGCCGTTAATGGAGCTTCCCTTCGAATCTTTACCACTACCAAGTGCAATTTAAGCATCGATATGCAACGTTTCAGTGATGAAGCGTCTTACCAACGGAGATTGAGTGCTTGTGAAAACTGATTTATATTGATCTAGATGTTGTGAACTTGTCGAAAGTAATTGAAAATCTATCGTCAAAGGGTGTTGAATGCTCCCCCAAACACTACCTCTACCGCGTGCAGATGCGTATCTGTGCAAACATAATATCATCCTTACATACTATGGTCTTCTTTTAGCAGATCGGCACCTTTCTCACCAATCATTATCGTTGGAGCCATCAAGCCACCACTCACTATCTGAGGCATGACACTTGCATCGATAATTCGCAAGTTGCCGATATGTCTTACTTTCAATTGTGGAGTCACCACCGCTTCCGGATCGTCATCTGGTCCCATTTTGGCCGTCCCCGCCGGGTGGTACATACTGGTGGACATGTGTCGTATATAACACTCCCAGTACTCGTCTGTATCGTACTGAATAAACGCACAAGCCGGAATATTCAATTGGTGCAGCTGAGCTTCGTTTTTGCGAAAAGTAGCTGTCGTGAGCATCTGTTGGTGGATTCTGATAGCCCGGATGATAGTTTTTAAATCATCATATTGGCTAAAGTACGCTGGTTTTATGATGGGATCGCTGTATGGATCCCCGTCGGCGAGTTTAATTGTACCCTTTGATTTGGGATTGAGAACACCGATCAGCGCCAATACCACATCGGCTTTCTGTTCTGCTCGGTGTATGGATTCCACAATCTCCCAGTCGTATCCCATTTTTTGCATCACAGAATAGGAAGTTATTCCGCCTTTCTTGAACAATCGATAACCTACTTGAACATCCGGGTATGGCTCGGTTGCGTTTACAGTATTTACGTTAAGCGTCAAACTGGACATGTCATGGTTGGTTAGCGGTTGGCTGTTGTTTTTAAGGACATAGTCGAATATATTAAGCACTTTTTCCAACGTAAGGTTTATGATTGTTTGGGATGATTTATTGAACTTGTAAAAAAGCGGAATGGCCACATGATCTTGCAAGTTGTATCCTACATTTAAGTCCGCTCGCTGCAATATTCTCAAAGGGGCAAGATCTGTCTGACGACCAATTCCGGAAAGCATCAACAATTTTGCAGTGTTTATAACGCCTGTTGATAGGATTACTTCTCTTTTAGCTATGGCTCGCAAGCTATGCATGTTTCTTAGGATTAAATTAACCCCTTGTGCAACGTTTTCTTTTGAGAATGAAATTGAGGTGACGAAAGCGTGTTTTATTATGTGCAAATTTGTACGGTGCTTGACGGGATTCAGAAATGCTTTCGCTGGACTGCAACGAGTTCCATTTTCTATCATGAACTGAGCCCTTCCAATTCCTACATTCCGATTGCCATTCAATTCTTTCAACTCAACAAATCCTACTTCTTTGGCTGCCATCTGTAACACCGTATTAATTGGATCCTTTATATCATAGTTATCTACACTCAAATAACCCCCTGTGTTATGAAGTTTACTTTTCCGCATAACTTTGCTATTCTCAGACTTCTTAAAGTATTTCAACACATTATCCCAACCCCATCCAACGTTGCCCTGTTGCTCCCAACGATCATAGTCCCGTCTGTTTCCACGTTCATACTTCATCGCGCCAATCGTTCCTGATCCGCCAAGGGCAAGACCTCTAGGCCAACTGACTCCATTAACACTACTAATACTATGCCTTCGGGAACGCATTGCCTTATACTCCCAATCAATGTTCGTACGCTGTAGCTCGTAGATCATTTCTACAAACTAGAGAAAAAAACCTAAATGTTAATGATGTACTTCGATCTTTTTATTAGCTTCGCAACTACCAAGTGCTCCCGTGCAGTTTTGCATTTTCTATGCCATGGTAAATGGAACATAATAACAACATTGTGTAAAAATATTTATTGTGCTCATAACTACCTAACACAAACACTGATATATTACAATAACAAAACATCTCTACAATTCATCTTTTGCCACTTGCGTAGGCTCGATTGCCAATCCATGATCTTCTTTTATCATATCCGCTACTTTTTCACCGATCATCATTGCCGGAGCGTTGGTGTTTCCGCTTATGATGGCAGGCATTATGCTAGTATCCGCGACACGAAGCCCCTGAACGCCACGCACTCTAAGCCTTGGATCGACGACGGCATCCCTGTCCGAGTCTGGTCCCATCTTGGCCGTTCCAGCTGGATGATACAGCGTGGTAGCCATATGTCGAATATAGCATTCCCAATACTGATCCGTATCGTAAGCAGTGTTGGCGCAGCCTGGTAGATCTACCTTAACCAGTTCCGGCTCTGCACTAGTAAGGGCAGAAGAACCCATAATTTTCTGCTGGATTCGGATTCCACCGATCATGGACTTGATGTCGTCCATGTGGTAAAGATATCCAGCATCTATGTACGGTTTATCAAGTGGATTTGTCGATCGTAGTTTCAGTTTCCCCCAGGATTTTGGATTTAGCAAAACAACATAAATCCCAATCAAATCAGCTTGTTCTTCTGCATCTACCAAAGAATTCACAACCGATTCTTCGTATCCAATCAGCGAAATGATCTGTTTTGTACGTCCCGACAGTTTCCGTCCCATGAAGTAGTGGTATTGAATGTCCGGGAAAGGGTCGGTGGCGTTCACTGTGTTAACAAATCCGGTTAGCCCAGAGAGCCCATGGTTGGACAATGGTCCAGTCCTTTTTGTCAAAAACTCCAGAAGGTGATCGACCAACTCTATTTTCATATCGAGTTCAGGAGTGGTAGATGCGTGTACCTTGTAATAAATGGGGACCACGTTGTGATCTTGAAGATTTTTACCGACACTCAAGTTTGATATTGTTGTGATATTCAGTTTCCGTAAGTCTTTTTCACGACCAATACCGGATAACTGCATGAGCTGAGGTGTATTCACTGCACCACCTGATAAGACCACTTCCTTTCTGACATTAACTTGAAGCTCATCCTTTTCATTCAATAGGAATTTTACTCCACTGACACTCTTATCGGGATTAAATAGTACTTGAGTGACATGTGCATGTTTTATGATATGTAAATTTGGGCGATCCTTCACAGATGATAAGAAAGCTTTCGCTGGACTGCAACGGGTTCCATTTACGATAGTGCCCTGCAGTCGGTTGAATCCAATATGGGTTTCAGCATTCATATCTACCACCTCAGGAAAACCAATCTCGTTGGCACCCTTAATCATTTGATCAACCAAAGGATTGTCGGTATTGAATGATGTGACTGTGAGGTATCCTCCCTTTCCATGGAACCTTCCGCCATTTGAATCCGCGATCAAGGGGCTCACATTGTCTTCGGACTTTTTAAAGTATTCCAGCACATTACTCCAACCCCATCCCACATTGCCCATCTGTTCCCACTGGTCGTAATCTCGTCTGTTGCCTCTGATGTAGACCATAACGTTGATTGCACCTGAACCCCCAAGCAGCTTTCCTCGCGGCCAGAAGCAACCATTCGGCATGCTCTTGCAAGCTCGTTTCGATCTTTCTGTCACGTATGCCCAATCACAGGTAGAATTTTGTAGATGGAAGAAAAGGGGCACCAGCTGAAAAATAGTCATCAACGACGTAAAGGAAACTGTCTAGATGAAGGCAACATTCATCTTAAAATAGCAAAACAAAACAACAAATACACACATAATTTCCCACATGTTGTTGTTAGTTGATGTCTGTTTAGAGCTCGGAATGTGATAAATCTATATGAAGCCAATCAGTTTTGATGAGATCAGCGCCCTTCTCCCCTATCATGATAGATGGAGCGTTTGTATTGCCACTAATAATGTTGGGCATGATGCTGGCATCAATCACTCGTAAACCTTTGGTACCCCGTACTCTAAGTTGTGGATCTACTACGGCTCGCTGATCTCTGGTTGGTCCCATACGGGCTGTCCCTACGGGATGATAAATGGTGGTCGAGAAGAAGCTCACGTAGCACTTAAGATATTCGTCTGAATCTATTGGGTTATCATCGCACTCTGGAATTTTAAAACGTAGTTCCGTAGCGTTCAGGCTTCTCATAGCTTTTGTGTTCAGAAATTTACGTTGCCATTTTAATCCATCGACTAAAAGCCGGACGTCGTTTGAGTCGTTGAGATAGTTAGGAAATATTTTGACTTTTTCGAACGGATTGGAACTCCTAAGTTCAATGTGACCTACTGATACTGGATTGAGAAGTGTAATCCAAACTACCGCAATGTCACTCTTTTTGCTGACTTTGGTTATAGTTTTATGGATATCTTTTTCGTAGCTCATTAATTTGAGAAACTGAGGCATGCGATAGCTATCACCTTTTCTGAAAAACAGGTAGTGATACTGAAGATTGGGGTATTTGCTTCCAATGGTTTCCGTGTTCAGGAAAAGAGTAATATGAGTTCCGCCATTTCCGGCAAAAAGTCCTGACTGCGACAAAAGGTATTGAAGATAGTCTTTGATCACATCATCTTCCTCGTTTCCAGGTTCCAATGCAATAAAATACGCAACGATTACATGATCTTGTAGATTTTTACCGACAGGCAGATCAACTAGCGTTTCTATTCCATGCATATTCAAATGAATGTTGGGTCCCAGACCAGACAGCATCAAGATTTGTGGTGTATTAATTGCTCCTGCTGATAATATAATTTCCTTTTTTGCTTTCACTTCCATAAGCTTATTATTCTGAAGTCTGAACTGTATTCCAGTTGCGGAGAAATTTTCGAGGATGACTTTCATGACCTGAGCATTCCTTATCAAATGTAGATTAGGGCGAACCACTGAACTCAGGAAGACCTTTGCAGCACTTTGTCTCCTACCTTTGTACACGGTTCCTTGCAGCTCTACCATTCCAATGAACTTATTGCCATTGATATCCTTTAGCTTCGCATATCCTAATTCCACAGCAGCGTCAATGAACGTTTCCATCAGCGGATTTCCCCTACTAAATTTTCCGACTTTCAATTCACCATCCAACGAATGAAAAGAACTGTTTCCGAAAAGTTCGTTTCTTTCGGATTTTCTAAAGTATTCCAAAACCTCCTGCCAGCTCCAACCTTCGCAACCACTTTCAGCCCAGCTGTTGTAATCTCGTTCATTACCCCGGACGTACAGCATAAAATTCATTGCACTACAACCACCCAGCATTTTAGCTCTCGGCCAATAACTGCCACGGGGCATTGCCCTGCTCGCTTTTTCGGATACTTCCGCGTAATACTCCCAATCACTAGATGTGTTCTGAATGTGCAGAAATAGCCCAGGAACCTATTCAAATGAGTGTTCGAATTCCACCACCGTATGACGAAATTAAGTTAGTAATGATAGCCATGAAAAATATGGAAATGTTAGTTCATTGAAATGCATTCTTTAGTGCTATGGAGCAAATCGAGTCGAGCAAATTTTACCTCGGATTCTATCGGTGGGTCCCCTCCTGCTTCCAATAGCAGAATCTTCCAGTCTGGATTTTCCGACAATCGATTAGCCACAACGGAACCAGCCGAACCTGCACCCACTACAATGAAATCGTACTCCTGGAGACCTTCGTTGAGAGCTGTTGGACCGTAATCCTTGGGCCACATATCCGGTGGTGAAATGCTACACTGTGCTGCCATAATCGTTTGGAGCAGCATAGCGAAAAGTTGGTTTGCCGGTCCAAGGCTTTGCGTCGCGCACTGACTATTGAGCAGTGCCTCCATGCTGACGATCGGAAGAACTCAGCTCTGCAAGGTATCTGCAATGAAACAAGTGATTGAAACAGTTATTCCTCGATTGATGTCTGGAGTAAAATATCCGCACTAAAGGTTGTGCACCTCGATCGAGTTTCGCTTCAGCTCTGGAAGACTGGGCTGATTTGAGCGAAAATTTATAGAATTTTACCCGTATCTGTAGTTGGTGCTGTTTACCTTCTGATAGCAATAACCTTTAACAGTGTGTATCATCAAACGGAAGAGTGTTAGTCATTTGTGTTATTATTAGCGAGCGAATATTCATAAGGTTTTTGTTTTGTTTGGAGCCGGTTCCACAAATGTAAGGGAGAACAGCCCATGATGCACCCATGGGGTAAAATGCCCACTTATAGAAAAACAACGATAACTTTTCCTCAGATGCATTTTCCGAGTAACGGATTGTGTTTGTTTTCAACTGGAGGTTTCACAAATATTTCCTATAAAATCATTTATTGACTGATTCCTTTAAAAATTTGCATTTTGTGCAAAACATAACACAGTTGTTAAAATCATCGACAGCAAATTAAGCTTTTAACTGCATATATCGCAAAAGAATTAAACGAATTCACTTTTCGTATATATTTTAGATGTTTTACTTCATGAATCATAGTTTAACATGCTATTGAGACCTTATTTCTGATCTGATGTAACATAAAGGAATAATCATTTGAAATACCTAATGCCTTTGCATTCTCTACTTGCAGGGGTTATGGTTGGTCTATCATGCGGTGCATTTTACCCCAATGTTGTGGTGCGTTTTGGCCATTGGTGTCGTGCGTCTTGTCCCAATGTTGTGGTGCATATTGCACCATGAATCAGGCGTTTTGCCTAGCTATCATTTTGGAACCGATTTATAAAATACCTTGAATATCATGAAATATCATCTTTTTGTAGTTCGAAATTACTCGATCTTCGTAGAAAACATGGTAACGCCAGCAATTGACGATTTTGCTCAAACGGTGCGTTTTTCACCATCCTACCGTATTGCTTGTTAGTTGAATGCAAGACGTTGCGCACTTCGGAAGTCACTTGTGTGAGTGGTTTGTTTGTTTTGGACCAATGCAACGCAGTCAGAGTAGCTACTTATCAAATCAGTTGAATGAATCTATGCATTTCACGAATGCTATTTACACCGGAAGCCGACACTATTACGGCAAGTTTGCAATTCTAATGTCAACAAATGTCAGTAGATAATTGGCTCGTATATAATAAGGCACGTTTAGCATGTTGGATAATTCCAAGAACTTATGTAAAACTAATCCGGTCCTATTAATATCCTGTCCTAAAAGATCATAAATTATTGTTTTTATTATTAATTTATTAACTTATTATTAAATGCGTTGTTTAGACGTAAATTTTGTTCCGCTAATTGATTTTTATTTGGAGGATGTTAGACATAAAATGAAATTAATATTTGCATCTGCCTTATTTTCTTTATTAAGAGTTGTGAATAAAACTATTATTATTATTGAATATCTCCTCGTATTTCCTGACCGAAATCCGAGCAAAATTGAGTACTTTATCTAACTGCTCCTATACTATCACCTTAGCTTGGGTCCCATCTCATTGCTCAATTCCGGGTAATGAGAAAGCGGACTCGCTAGCTAAGGTGGGCGCTATGGAAGGCGATATTTTTGATCGACAAATCGCCTTTGCGGAATTTTTTTCAATTACCCGTCAGCACGTCCTCACCAACTGGCAACAAAAATGGAATGAGAGTGATCTGGGAAGATGGTTACATTCTATTCTCCCACAGGTGTCGAACAAGCCATGGTTCAAAGGATTGGACATGAGCCGTGACTTTATACGTGTCATATCAAGGGTCATGTCCAATCACTACTCGTTAGACTCGCATTTCTTCCGAATCGGGCTCGCAGGCAGCAATTTGTGCGCTTGTGGTAGTGGCTATCACGATATCGACCACGTGCTTTGGTCATGCACCCTACATTGTGTTGCTAGATCCGAGTTATCCGCATCCCTCAGGGCCCGAGGAAAACAACCTATGCGGCCCGTTAGAGACATCTTGGCGAGCCGAGATCTCGAATATTTTAATTTAATTTATGTGTTTTTAAAACGGATCGATCTGAGGATTTAGTAGTTAGTGTCATCTTGTGTTCCCCCAAGTTGTTAGCTGCCCATCGGTGTACCCCCATGTTTGTCTTTTTCGTCAGTTGGTCGCTTAGTTCGAGATAAAAAGCACATTGCTCTCCAAACCTTGTGTTCTCAATCCCTACCCTGCCATCCATTTGTTACAATTTGTTACCCCTAACCTCGAGATAGCCGCGAGTAATCGGCCCCCGCTTTACTAACGTTAGTTTTAAGAAATTTTGTCATCCAAACAATGAATATCGGCTCCGCAAAGCTACGGCAAATGAGCCTAGAAAAATAAACGCATTTAAAAAAAAAAAAATTATTGAATAAAACTATTTCGTATAATATACGTTTATTCCGAAATTTTAGTTTAAATATCTATGCTACAAAATCTAAAACTAGAATCAATTCCAGATCAGTTATAACCTTGTTTCATCAAAATCGGTCATGAAATGACGAATTGGGAGAAATATCTCATTTTTAGGCGACAGAGCTTGGGTATTCGTGACAGTTAAATTTATTGTCTAACTGTCAGATCTGCCGAAACGCATCACCAACAGATGAAATGTGCGTCGGCCGTTTTTTTTTATTCTTCGTATGTTAAAAAACATTGCTATATCTCAGCGATTTTCTAAATTTTAAATGCTCCGCAGAGTACGGTGCGTCGACTTTTGGAAAAAAATCACAAAGGTCCTTCAAAAAATGAATAATAGGCTGCGTCTTTTAAAAAAATGCCTGCAGCCACCAATTCAATTCATATCCCCAAAATATGAACCAAACATAAATAATGTTATGTAATACAATATACAGTTAATTATATTGTACAGTATATTTATATGTTCTATGTTGTGTGCCATCGCTTATAAAACTACGGTTTTACGTTAAATCTTTTTTGGTGTCTTGAGCGCACTTATCCATTATGACCCGAGAATAAAATGCCCCAAGACACCAAAAAGATTTAATTTTTCTATATTTTTTATATTTTCTTGTTACTCAGCTAACCCTCGAAGTTGCTCGGGAAAATTTGATGCATAAATAATATGCTATGCGAATCATAAAGATATACACTATCTTAAAAAATACCAGGGTCCATTGAAGTGTAATGGAAGTTTACGCATTTACGAGGGTGTATACTAGGGTGGATCACAGGCTAAATCGATTCTAAATCAGGCCAAACTTTCTCCCAAAGGTTGAGCTCATTTGGATGTGAATGTTCTTTGAGTTTATATGGGAATTACTACGATAAAAGTAAACTTTTTGCTTACCACATCCTAGCGTCTCACCATAAAAATTTACGGATAAGTTTACTACTTGTTCTTATAGAAAATTTTCTCGAGTACAACTTCACTATCACTATTTGATGAAGTTATTGATAAATTCTGAAGCCAATAACTTTCTGATATGATTAATCGACCGCTTACAGGGCAACACTGCATCTTGCAATATGATATAGTAGCCTGGATATGTTTGTCCTATTCTTTGCGCCAAGTACAACAATGTTGCCTGCTGACCAGTCGATGGAGCATGTGAGAAGAATATCACCTTCTTAATAAATTCATAACTCATAGTTAAAACAAAGTAGTGTAAATTACCGTTACTATGATGCACATAAACATATGTCACACAAATTTACATAATAGATCGTGTAAATTTATAATACTTGTCATGAAATATTACAAATATGGTATGCAACTGTCCATCTTTGTAAGCAACATGTCTTGCAAGTTGTTAGTTTACGTGAAAAGGAAGTTCACACACAGTTTGACAAAGTAGTGTAAATTTCTGTTCTGTATGATGCACATAAATGGAGCGTCACATATCATATAAGTTTACATTATATATCATGTGAAGTTCTGAGATATTTCATGCAATGTAGCAAATATTGTAGACAAAAGTCCAATGTTGTAAACAACATTGTTTACAAGTTGCTCGGTTGCGTGACATGAAATACAAGTTTACGTGAATGTTTACATCACTATTGAAATTCATAATTTTTATCTGTGCATGCATGAATGTGTGCATGTATAGATGTGTACATCACCAGTAAAATTCAGAGTTGGTTTCTGTATAATTATTCAGACATTCCATTAAAATGTGATCTTTAGCGAAGTTGTAGCTTAGAAAATGTCCTATAAGTACAGATAGAAAATTTATCCGTTAATCATTATTGACGATGAGAACAAAATTTTTACTTTTACCATAGTAATTCCCCTATAAACTTCAAAGGGATAGTGCAATATGAGTTCACATCCAAATGAACTCAAATTTTGCAAGAATCATCAGAATCTGATTTGAAATCCATTGAGCATGGTGGAGCAAAATCGATATTTTGTACCATACTAGTGTATACCTTTGCGATGCACTTTGTGAATACAATAAACGTTCGCTAACTGAAATGGATTATTTTATTATTTTTAAAATTCCATCTTACGGTGTTCAAATGATCACTGTCAAAAATTGGTCTGCTGGCGACTTATTGTTGACAATTGTTAAAAAAATAGTGCTACAGACAGTTGTGATTTACACAAAAATCAGAAAGTCCCTTTCAGTTAGCGAACGTCAGAATAAATGGAGGGAATGTGTACAAACAAACATTTACATTTCACTCCAACAGTTGCAATGAATATGACGCTCTCTTCTCATACAGTTATGGATCGGTCTTTTGGAACTTTTTCAATAATTTTTAATATAGAAAGCTTACGTTAAATGCAATTAAATATTCAGTTAACCCATTTTAAAAAAGAAAGTTTAGTGCTATTAATATCGATCAACAGTCAATAATTCCGCACCGCAGAGCCACCCGAGCAAAGTCGGTTAACACAATGAAAGCAAATCGATATTAAAGTTTGCAGTTCTTATCACAATGAAAACTCATTTTGATTTCAACTGTCGCGACAGAAGTCTGATTGCATAT